TAATAGCTCATGAATTATTAATAAGTTCTAGAATGAATATAGAAAGCTTATAAGAGTTTCAGTTGTTTGCGCTTRAGGTCTTCAGCGTGCGATGTTATGGTATGTATATGTAACGAGAAATATTCAAACTCTTTTTAATTGAACATTAGCGAATATGATATTCCTAACAACAATATAATTTTCAATATTGTTTTGCTAGGCAATCATGCGTTTCATCAGCTTGGATGTATAATTATTTTGTAAATTGAAAGCGAAAGCTGCCGAAAGCTGCGAAAGCAGATATTATGATAAATCGAAAACAGTTAACGATAAAATAATTTAGTGGAGCTAAATTGTATTGAATTATGCGAGTTACTTTTGCGAGTAAAAATTTTGGCAAGTACTCTTTATTTCACGGTTTTCAGTGCCGAAATTTGTAACAGCTAAAGTGCGTTAGGAGGTGGAATACGAAACCGGTAAATACAAAAAGTAACAATTAACAGAACTTATTAGTTTTTTTTCAATGTTATGCAACACTAGTTTCAAGAGAAAGTTTGCAGCCATGTCAGAGGTTTGATGACCGAAAATATAGTCACTCTCAATAAACTGACACTTTACGTTTACATGAAAATTAACAATTAGCATGCTAGCAAACAAAGTTCAAGCAAGAAGCAACTAAAATGCATAAGCGAAAGCTCGAGTGGAAAATTAAGGCTACAACCACAGTAGCGTATGGTCTATTTCTCTTCATATTCTCAAAAAAGGCCTAAATTAAATCGTGATGCTCTTTCGTTTTTAATCAGCCATCAAGAATTTTGGCAGCCATATTGGATGATTCCGTGATACAAAATGGTGACCACTCTAAGTTGTCTAAATTGCTTTGCATTTTGCTAAATATATAATGTATAGTATAAGTCAACATACGTTTCACTTTAATTCATCAGCTATAATAAGTTCATTGCTTCGCGTGAATTTTGTAGTCGTCCCTTTCAATAAATAATTCATATTTTTGTTTATGGAATGACGTGTGGCTCGCAGCTGACAATCTTTTAATCCCAGCGAGGTCGAATCCCAGCGAGGTCGAATCCCAGCGAGGTCGGAAATTAATTTTTCCGAATTTATTCCTAAGGGACTTCTCCCGGAATTGCCTCCTTCTAAGCACTATAACTTTCTTTCATTTCTATATAATCTTTTAATCTTATGGTTTTAAAGTCAGCCGCTCTATTGTCTGAGTTTTCTCTATAGCGTTTAATATAGCTGACTAAGCATGCTTCAAAGCTGAATTGGATAAAGGGAAACAATAGATTGATAATTATTTTGTTCTCCCCTCTTGTTCTTCTTCAATTCTTTTGGCATGTTTGTGCATGAACATTATATTGAACCAGAATATCTGGAGTAAGCTATTGATCAAAGAACTTAACCTTTCAATTTAATGTGATGTTTAGATCAGACGTTTCATGGCTCAGCGATTTATTAGTTTTAGGCACGTGTATGGCATCAAAGAGATGTTTATTCACTATAAGGTTATAATCTGGGTTGCTAACTACCGATGCTTTTAGGGCGCTTTCCATTTGTCAGAACTGGCTGGCCAGACCCAGAGAAAATGTCATTATATATAATTCCAATTTAGTTGGGAAATTCAAATTTTCAAATTATATCCATCTTTCTATAGAAAACCTCGAAATGACTGAAAAATGTTGACAAAAAGCATAATATACCTCTAAATAGAGCGGACTGGACGGCAAGTTCTACTTAAATGGAAAGCACCCTTAGATTCTTAATCTTTTTCGGTCTAGCTGTGTTTTTTTTGTTCTAAAAAAACGGCGAAATTTTTTAGCTGATAATACAAACCTGTAAATACTTACACTTTTTAGCTGTTACTCCTGATTTTTTGAATTTGCTGTTTGATTATCATAAATCTTGTAATTTTAATCTTTAATATTCAGAGGAATAAAAATATCAGAATATGTTTTTACTCATAAGACTTGTTGTCGCAAGATTTGCGATAAAATAATTCAAAGCAACCAAATTTATTACAACATTTTAGCCAATCAACGCGCAACGCAATTGATTCTAAATTCATACGCATGCAGGTGTTCATGATACGTMATAAAACAGAGCGTCTTTTCGCTGCCATTGAGCTATACAGCCAAATTATCGTAGGTTTGGCTCAAAATTACTGTCTAATAGCGTTTTATAGCCTAAAAATCAATCTTGAAATTCTGTTTTGAACTGTGCTAGAACTGTAAGTAAAATCGACGCACTTTTCTCACRTTTTGTATGTTCAGWTTSGATTTTAATTCATAWTTTCTACTTTATTTTAGAAGCGCGATGGGAAATTCGAGTTCTAACAAAGGAAAATCCAAACCTGTTCCTCCACAGCAAAGAATACAAAGTTTAGATGGAGTYAAACAAATTGTTTTAGTTCACCATTCGTCAACTAAGGAAGACAAAAAACAAGTGAGATATTTTAAAGATGCTCTCSTTCAGTCCGCAYCAGGTGCCATTAACATTGCTAAGTCATTCAACCTGGCCGAGGGAAGCCTCGATGTATACGATGTCACCTGGCTAGACTATCTCAACAATGTTGTTCTTATTCGGCTCACGCCAGAAGGAATTCGTACTATCACCGAAGTTGCAAGAAATAAAAAATACATCGATGAAAATAATCATTTACATGSGAGAGTGTTRTCGGTGGCTTTTGGAAGTGAACKCCCRTCGGGTTGGCCTCCTGTTGGATCAAGGAGCGAAACCCCTGATCAAAGAGACTTTTGTCTGGGAAAAGATAACGAAGACGACGATTTTGATGCAACAAAGATGAACGCTTTGGTTAGTGCTATCATGGCGACGAATTGAACTCAGTTGGAATCCATATAGAAATTTTGATAATAGGACTGGTCTTCGAAGAGCATATTATTGACTTCTTACGCAGTACTATGGCTTAAACTTTAACTACACGCTATATATTACGTAGATTGCCACAATTATTTTTATAACGTTTTCAGGTATTATTGTACAGTTATGGCTTTTTTAGAAAAATTGATGTTTTTTAAAATAATCTCACATATCGTATTCTCTGATTGGCTTATTTCAAAAACAAGACGGCCGATAGCTGGATGTCACGATGTTTGCAAAATTAATGCCGTAAATATTTTAAATGTTTTGTAGGTTTTTTTAAACGGTTTGTAGGTTTTTGCCGTTAATAAGCAGTCTAGAACAGTCAGAATTTGAAATCTTTAAGTATGTTTTCATATGGTTTTGAAGGGATTTTTAACCAAGGATAAAACACTTGACTGCAAACGCTAAAACYATGAAAAACTCTAATATTGATCAAATAGTGCTAAATTGTACAGAATTAAGGGARTTTTGGTTTTCTATTTTCTAATCTGSCACTATATTGCGCTATTTAGCGCTATTTGGTTGTACGTTTTCACGGTTTTAGTGTTTGCACTCTTTTATATTTAAAATGCTATTTAAAGATTTGCATTAATTGTTTAATGTTCATAATTTTTATAGAAAATCGGCAATAATAATAAARMAAATCTCAACCGGAAGTGAAATCTTTACAATTTTACAATTACTTCCGGTGTMTGCAGAAGTTGGGTGAGTCTGGGCGTTCAAAATGGCGGCGGCTGCTTCTCGAGGCAAGGACTACACTGCCATTCAAATGAAAAACCAAGAATCACCCAAACAAGACAATAATCAGTTTTCAGCTAAACGAACTAGCTTAGAGAAACCCTTTGACGAAGCCTTTTGGAATCAGGTACAGACCTTTCTAAACACTTGGTGTATTTTTAAACAGCGTCAGTCAGATTTGATGTACGCACGCAGCAGGCTTTCCCCCGTCTGGCATGGTGTAGATCTTGTTGTCAATTCTTAACGACATAAGCTTAACTTTTTAGTAAGAGCACTTTCTATGACAGAACGAGATATGATTCAWTGGTATTTGAGAGACAGAGGCTCTGACCTAAAAAGATTTTTCAAATAATTTCGAATGAATCATTCTTGTTTTGATTTGTTGTTGTTGTTAGTTGAGTATAATGCCATTGCAGTTGGTACATCTAACTAATACGAAAACACATGACTGAATTGTAGTGG